AAGCTTGTCAAACTCTTCCTTGGCCTGCCAGATCACCAGATCTCTCTCCCATCGAGCATGTCTGGGATATGATGGGAAGGCGATTGCATCTGGCACGGAATGTTGATGACCTCGTTCGACAATTGGATCGAATTTGGCAGGAAATACCGCAAGAGACCATCTGGCAGCTTGTATCCATGCTAATTGCGGGTCAACACCTTATTGAACTTGTTACTGTAACTCTGCAATAAATTATTCAATTGTTCTGAAATTTTAATCATTTACTATTCTGTACATTGTCTTCCTATTCACTAATTTTCGTTTCAATCGGACAACTCCTTCTTGGTGCGTCGATTTTTTTGTTATAGAGTGTATATACTAGAATTGTGAAATTAATTTTGTCGTTGGAGTTGATAAGAGTTGTAAGTCCCTGAAATGGAAGTATTGAAGACAACACATAGATGTATGAATGCAATCGTGACAATTTTTAGATGCACAATCAAGTGCTTTTGCAATAAAAAAAAATTTAAGGTGTAGGAACATTAACGAAACGGCAGCAAAAGTATGGGAAAGAACGTTAAAGCATTGGCAAGTTAAAACGGCAACTTTAGCTGTTGTTCGTCAAGCAGAAAACTACCAACCGAAGTTACCTGTTAATTCAGATCTTTGTTGCGAAAATAGAGTATTAGAAATTTCACGATTCTTTTCCAAATTTCGCCTTGCATCGGCAGCTCTAATATCAACCAATTCTTTCATATCTTTAGCAAATTGAAGCTCATTTTGCACTGACATACACTGGTCGGTCTTAGACTTTAAAGTTCGTTGCAAATATGCGACGCAACTTTCTTTACTTTCAAGTTCTCGATTTCTTAATTCTTTCAGAGATACTAAAATTTGTTCTTGCTGTTGCAAATCTTTGTCGATTTCAGCAAGTTCTGCTGACAAATCTTTAATTTTGGCTTTTAATGAAGCTTTCTCAGATCGCTTTTTCGATTTTTTCTTTTTCCCACTTTTTTTCTTTTTAGACATAATTAATTATTTAAATTTTGATACTTATCTTGATACATAATTTTGATAATAAAATTTTTATTTACTTATAAATCTAATACGAAATTTTATTCTGTTGTGCCTATGTTATATTGCGTTTCCATTTCTTGTTCAGCTTTTAGCTTGCTTTGATTTATTTTAATGTACTGCCAACATTTTTTTTAAAAAATAATCTTGCAAGCAGAAGTACCATTATTACGAGCAAACTTTTTATCACAGAAATAAGAAGTAGGGATGCGCTTCGCTAGAAATTAATGGGAGAAAGACGGTCAAATAATAAGATAGTATAAATTTTGATAAATTATTACTACGCATTAATAGTTAAATTTCAAAAATATATATATCTGTAACAAGTACAATCAGATAGATTTCAAGTACGGTTGCAGTTATAAAAAAAAATTGTTTTGCTTTAAGTCTTAAGTGTTCTTTTTAAACCTACACAGTAGCCACTTTACGTTAATAGGTTGCACGAAGTGGCAACACACTATTCAATTTACTAGTAAAGGTAAACAAACAAATCACAATTTCTAAAACATTGATATACTGTTGATTAAATACAATTTTCGTAATTTGTTTTTAATCTCCACAAGTTAAAATATTATATATAATAACAAGTTTTGAGTTTTTTGAGTATCATTTTAAGCAATTTCTGAGCAGTGCGCAAAATAAAAAAAGGACCACCCTATATAACTTTTGATCTAATGATCGGATCTTTATGTTCTAAGACTCAATCTTAAAGGTTCAAGAGGGTGACCTCAAATATTTTAATTATGTGCATAGATATTCAAATTACGAAACCAGACTAAAAAACGTGCCTTCTCTAAATAAACATACCTTTTTTTTCCGACAGATTCGAAATTCCATCCCAAGAATCGAAATACATGGGAAGCCGCAATCTGGGAAATGTGGTCCCAGTGGTTTGGTTAGGAGAGCGGTCCTAAGTTTGGTCCCCTTGAAGTTCATTAAACTTTTTGCGCATTTCTCTGTATCTTCCAATTTTTTTTTAAGCCAATTGAAAAAAATTTCGAGCGTTATTTTAAAATTCGTTTTTCCAAAGACAATTCCACTCAAATATAACTTTTAGTAAATATTTATCATTTTATTAGTCTAATAAATAATGATTTGTAAGGTACCCGATTTTTTGCATCATTTTAAAGAAGGCAATTTTAAGCGGTAAAATACGAAATTTGGGCAAAATCGGTCGAATAGTTCCTGAGAAATCGAATTCTTTTTAAAAAATCGTATTTTTAACCGCATTACGCTTGAGCTCTAGAAAGTGAAGAATATTAGATCATAAGTTGTTCTTCGATTTGTATTTGCTGTCTTAGTAACATTTCATTTTTCCCTTTGTATTCTTTAATTTTTGTATTCCTGTGTAAAGTTAGAAATATTTTCATTGTTCATAAAATGTTTAGTGCAATATTTATTTACATTTCCTCGCATTCCAATGAATAACTAATTTCTGATTTATATAACACATATTATGTACCAAATTATATAATTTTTCTTTCAAAATAGAATTTTTTTTAGCTATTGCATGAATTATTTAAAATATTAGCCAATATTTTATCTGTTCTGGGAATCGCTTGGTGATAAAGCAAGATTTCGAAAGCAGCGTGGCATTCATCTCACGCTTTTATCTAATCTTCTAGATAAGATCTTCTTTCAAACAAGAAAAATCAGATGATTAAGTGAAGAGGCATTTTTAGGATATTTATTTTAGGACTTTATTGCCTTTAATGGTTGTAGTACGTTTAACAAACATTTTATTTGTCATCTGATGTGTTATTGAGATAGAAACAGAAACGGTGATAAAGACTTTTAAACAGGTTAAGGATTAATTCTAATTAAAAAAAGGAATAAAAATAGGTTTTGACTTGCATTTATATTAAAGTTTAAGCACAATGTTTGTGTATTTTTCCTATGGAACTGAAGTTGAAGTCCTATGAACTTTGTATAGAATGTATTTTTTGGATGGGATTTCAGTTTTACCTATATATAAGGGTATTTTTCCTAAGGGTATTTAATACGGGTATTTAAGTTTTATTAATGTATAGGTTGTATTTTTCCCATTTTGCTTATGTAAAAGGTGTATTTTTTCAAAAATATTTAAGCTTTACTAGTGTATAGGGTGTATTTTTCCTATGGGATTTAAGTTTCATATACGGGTTATACTTCCTCAGGGATTTAAATTTTACAGACGTATAGGGAGTATTTTTCCGATTGGGTTTAAGAGTTTTACTAGTGTATAGGGAGTATTTTTCCCTACGGGATTCATTTTCATCAATGAATTCGTTGTTGTTCAATTTTACGTCGCACTAGAGGGCTATTGGCGCACAATGGGCTATTGGCGACTGTCTGGGAAACATCCCTGAGGATGATCCGAAGACATGCCATCACAATTTTGATCCTCTACAGAGGGGATGGCACCCCCGCTTCGGTAGCCCGACGACCTGCACGCGAAGTCGAGAACTTTACGGTAGCACAGTTTAACGAGGACCAATACCGCACACCCTCGGTCCCTACGCAGACTGATCCAAGTGTTCACCCACCTGCACACTGACCGTAGCCAGTGATGCTTGACTTCGATGATCTGCTGGGAACCGTGTCTTAACGATCAGTCCACTGCGGGACATCAATGAACTCAAGGAAGAATTAATGTAATTAGAAAACGCAGATAATCTGTTAAAAAATTTGATCTGTTTATTGATTCATAAAATGCGCAGTTCATAAAAATGATATTTGTCTCACCTTATTGTTGGTCAGAAACGAAGTTAATTTTTGACCAACGAGGAAATGTACTGGTGTCAAGGCTTCAAGTCGGTCATCAATTCCGTGCTCATATGTTAGTGGCCGAATCTTAATGGCCCCTTCAATTCCTGTCGGAACTGTGATCGAATTCTCTTCCTCCAAATATGATTTTCCCCTGCCCAAAGATGCTTTCACAGTTCCAACCATTCTCTACCATTATCACAACACATTTATTAAACATAAAGAGTGACATAATCAAGGCGTATGTGCAAACGTACCTGCGTTAAAACTGTACATATATCAAAGAACGTATTTCTCAGTTTTCTCAAAGTAAAGAACAATCTCACGTAGAGCCCCTGAATTAGACAACCCAATTGAGGAGCCTTAGTCTCACGTTCCAAAAACATACAACGTCATTATTGCTAATCAAGGAACGCTTATGCGATCCTACAATTCTTAGGTCTCGGCACTAGTCATTTGTGGCTTGAAAAAATATATATTTAGTTCATTTTGAGTCGGGTTGGCGAAGTAGTATAAAGGCGCAAAGTTATAGGGCTCTACCAGCTGTGGCGGTTTGAAACCAACTCACAAGGGAGACTAGGGAAGTGTGACTCGCCAATTTTGAAATGAACTAGTGGGATGCATGCCTTATGAGGAATAATTTTTGGGGCAACATTCGTTTCGGCCCATAGAAGGTCCTATGAGAGATAAAAAATAATTCAATGTATAGAAAAATCGGTATTTTATTACTTCAATGCAGACTATTAGTTATTGTAATTATCTCATACTCCAATTAATTTTGTGGTACTTTCACGTACTATATAATGCATATTTATTGTCAAAATTGATTTCGAAAATTTTATATATCTGTAGTTTTTCAGAAAAACCTGTTAGGTTAATTTTAAAAATAAAAAAAATTTGGCATCAAATTTTTTTTTCAAGAAATTTTCTAAATTAATCGGAGTATGTAAGTGCAAATTAATTAATAATTAATAGCTAATTAATTAATTAACCAAATTAATTTAAAATTAATTGGAGTATGAGATAATTACAATAACTAATAGTCTGCATTGAAGTAATAAAATACCGATTTTTCTATAAATTGAATTATTCTTTATCTCTCATAGGGCCTTTTATGGGCCGAAACGAATGTTGCCCCCAAAAATTATTCCTCTAAGGCATACATCACACTAGTTTATTTCAAAATTGGCGAGTCACACTTCCCTACTCTCCCTTGTCAGTTTCAGATTGGTGGGAATTAGCTAATTTATAGAGAAAAGGCTGTTTAATGCACAATATTTGCCTCGTTGCTAACATAATGCTGTATGTCACACAGTTGTATAGCCTTAACCTCTGTGTTTCCACTCGCCCACAATAGGCTATTGCGTGATTTGCTGTGTATTTTATTTAGTTCATTTTAACAATATTAGAGAAATGTCGATGATTTTAACAGTTTTACCAGCATTAGCTTAATGATGACTTCAATGCAAGCAAGGGTGTAGGTCGGAGAAACGAAGAGTGGAACGCCCGAATGGAAATACTCTTGAAAGCATTTTAAAAAAAAATTATAAAATAAAAATAAATGAATAAATAAGAATGAATTTACGTAGGTAGTTCTTATTAGGAAAAAGAACCGGTACATAATTTTTTAACCTTTATCGAATCTACTTTCACGTGTAGTAGAATAAACGATTACGGAAATGACGTTAGTAACTTCCGTGCTATACGATAACAAAATATATTTGGGTCAAATCAATAGAACATTGTTTTTTTTCCTCTTTCCAAAAAAGCAGAGTAATTTTAGAAAATAATGTATTGATTATCAAAATCATATTTTTTTAACAAATAAAATGATTTAGTTAATGATTAAAATGAAACAAATTATAATTTTATATTTTTCTACTTTTAACATAAAATCTGGCAAACAACGTAACACCGGCCACTCTGTTTAATGAGCTATCTATAGATGTCCATAAACTTCCAAAAAACATATTTTAGGTTTTTAGAAATTGAAATTTTTTTTAAACCAACCAAATTAAGGGTAAGCCAATTTTTTGTAAATTGTTGTTAAGAATATTAAGTTTCGTTTTTGGTGTGAAATCGAAAAAAGGTTGCAGTTTAAAGGAGCTGGTAGCGCCGAATTCAGAACGCTGAAATTTAAACTTTCAGTAAAGTCTCAAAATTCAATGTTCCTGTATCTGTATTGATAATAT